GAATATTACATGTAAATATTTTTTTTTATTTGTTTGCTGTCTCTTATACACATCTAGATGTGTATAAGAGACAGATATAGGGATGCGATCCAAACAACCTCTACCTTCACTCTTCTGAAAAGAAGACTCACGGTCGTAGGCCTAATAAAAAAATCGATCCGCCCCTGGTACTTGAAAGATTAGCCTAAGCATGGAGGAATAAAATCAAAGGAGTTACATCGGAGAGTATCGTATTTTAAGCTATCTATAATTCTCCATTGCCAAGCTTCTCAAATACGGGCTAAGAATCTTAAAATTAAATAAGGCAAAAAAAAAAAAAAAAAAAAAAAAAACTTGTTTAGCGTCACACCCTCAGAAATTTTCAGGGGCGTAGGCGGGGGAGCGGATTTTTGAAATTTTTTTAAATATTTTTTTTTGCTGGCCTAGGCCTAGCCTAAGCCCTACTGTGTAGGCTTCTTAGGCCTAGAGATTTCAAAAACTGCATTGGTGCCAAGCCAAACACACACACACAGACCATAATAGACACTAAATTTTACATAAAAGATTTGTTTGTACAATATTTATTTTGGGTATTACTAAAGTGCGAGGCAGCGAGGCATGCGAGGCATCGATTTACCATTCACGAAAAGTGCGAGGCATGATCATAACGTGCTACCATTCCCCAAAAGTGCGAGGCATGATCGTAATAATGTGCTCTAATTTCTGTCACGAGCCATGAATGAGATTAATGTGAGCCATATTTTTTTTAACAAATCTACGAGGCTATAACAAACATATTCTAACTATTCTGTAAAAAACAATTAAATAATGAGAATAGAACAAAAATCTAAGACTAGGCCCTGGTCTACCTGCCAATACATTAACCACAGAACATGTAAGCTAGCGCCCTCTATTCAATTAGTTGACGCGCGTACTTTATCCAGGAGGCGAATAATGTGACGTGACGTAATAGCTGCTAAGAGCAAAGATGTCTGTTCTTGAAAACCGTGTGTTGTGCCTCCTGCAAGCTAAAAAAAAGTGGCCTTACTTTGCTAATTCATTGCCCAATATAGTGTACTCTGTTGAAATTTTGGTACGACTCGACCAAAATAATGTGCGATGTTATCCACGGCAGAAAACGATGACCAGATGCACTCTTAAATATGATATTATATTCCCTGATCCAGGGGGTGGCGAATTGGGTGATCGTCACCCCAGCAGCAACGACCGCCATATCCTCTCCTTACTGTATATTATAAAAACCAGAAAGGGCGCTATTCAGATCAGTTTGAAAGAGCTGATATGCATGAATATGCATAACCTAAGTTTCACGTTTCATGCATGATTTTAATGTTATTCAAGTTACAATTACTGGCTTTTATTTGATGCGACATGAAACAAAAAGTCTTTAAAAAAAAGGCAATTAAAGTACCAATAAAGTCTAAAGGTGAATGTTTCAGCAACATTATTTTCCTAGAGTTTTAATTTGTTTATGACATATATAAGTATACACACATTGCATTATTCTATTCGTTATATTTGTTTTGACGAGCGAAATGTTCATGAGAATGCAACATATATATTAAACCAATGCACTGAATTAACTTAATACTGTCGTAATTTGAGTCGCAATCTGTCTCCGAACGTTTATATAGTATACTAAAAGGCCGCTCGCGTTTTTCCTGAAAATATTTCAGCTATTGCCTCTGCCTCTGTTGTTAAATTTAATCTTAACACAGTGCTGAAGGATGTTATTTTATATAGGTTTATTAAAATTGTTGACCTTCAATTGGTGTAGCCTACATAGCAGTAGTAAGTGTTACATTATCTGTTGCAATGCACCCGTCTCCAATAGCAACAAGGAATAAGCTAACCACACTCTAACTTTATCTTGGAATAATGTGGTTATGTGACTCAGCTAATTATAATATTAGGCACCAAACCTTACCTATTGAGACACTTATATTCAACTTGTATGTTTTCAATAAATATAGTTATAGTATAGTATATTGTATAGTGTTTGTCTACTTAATCGTATTATCGTAGTAGAGAAATAATTACAGCAAGCAAGACCTAAATTAAAATTACCAATTAAATGAAAGTTTTGTTAGCCTACTGAAAAAAACAATACAATTTAGCTATTCATGCCTCGTGCATCCCTCGTAGCGCAAATCAATAGGCCTACCACTACTCTTGCACAACAAAGTATGATATTTGGTTTTTTAGCATCCACTATTCTTGTACATAAATCTTCAATTTCCAACGTACGCTTATAATAGCAACTCGGACGTCGTTAATAATAATAATAATTATTATTATTATTATTGTGATGAAAATTTAACAAAAATAGTTTAATGAAAGTAAATAATTTTTTGTATTTGTTAATTCCCTGACAAAATTTACTCGTCCTCCCCGACGGGGGGAGGGCCCATAGCACCCCCTCTGGCGCCACCCCTGTATGACACTCTTATAATGTAGTAAAATTCATCATCATCGATCTAATTAATCACTGTGATGTACCATAGAAAATATTACTTCATGTGCCGAAACCCTATCTTTGCACGTTTTTTTTTCTTTTTTTCTCAAATTATAATAAAGGCACGCGCATTCGAGTAGAGTATTATAGGTCATTCAGATGTTTGTGGGCAGAGATACAACTAGGTATCTTGCTATAAATAAGATGTACTGCACTCTGGCTGCACAGCGCTCTTTCGTTTATGCATTTATGTCAAAAATGTTCGTGCATGTCTTGTTGACTCACAAAAAGTGAGGGGACCAAGTACCCTTCCCCCTTAAAAATATGTGAGGGGACGTTTACAGGGGTGGCGCCAGTGGGGAGGGAGGCCCAGTTCCGGATTAACCATTAGGCAAATAAGGCACAAGCCTTGTGGGCCAGGCGAAAATGATGGGCCATCAAAAGTTGGACTGCAATATTATTTACACTCTATTTCCTGGTATTATTAGGCCAGAAAACTCGGAGACATTCTACTGTTAGAGTTGTGGCAGAGTAACGCTTCTCTCCGACACGAAAGATTTTGTGCCTGCGGCCATCGGATGTTCGTGGGGTCCATTCAATTAACATTTTTGGGGCATTTCCAAAATGTGCCTTGAGGCCAGACGATGCTTAATCCGGCACTGGGGAGGCCCCCTCGTCGGGTAGAGCTGCATCCCCCCCCCCCTGTCGGGGAGAGAAACCACAATTCGTCGGGGAGACAAAAATTTTAGATATTAGTAGACTCTAAAATTGATCAAATAAGCCTTTAAATGCCCTAAATTGTCAAAATTTCGGAGGCTTCGCCCCCTAGACCACTTTCGAGGCATTTAAAGCGACGTTTGACCACGCCCACTTTTTTATTGACGGGGACCTCGGACCCCTCCCCCCGTAGGTAAAATCCTGGCGCCACCCCTGACGTTTATTCCTTCCCCATGATTTGCGCCTATGAGTGCGTGAGAGTTCACCACTTCAGCCCCCAACATGGTTGGGGCTGAGGTGCGAAAATTTTGAGAATATGGACCTCTGGTTGCCCGGAAATCGCACTCTCATGTACCTTAAAAATCTTACCAATAGGCCTAATTCATATCAACAATATAATATAAAACAATTATTTTTCTCAATACAATTTAGGGGGTGCGATCGCACCCTCTGCATCGTCCCCCACCCCAACTGTTGAGGTCGAATTATATTATAATATGCTCTATCTTTATAAGGCTTAGGGTGTGGAGTTGTAGAAGGTGTTTTTAGTACTAAGAAAAAAAAATCCTCTTGTCACAAGATTTGAACCCAGAACTCTGGGGTTGGAAGGTCACTCACGATCTACCGTCAGCCCTACTTCAGTCTCCCAACCCCAAATTTTCATAATAGGCTAATGATAATAATACCGGTGGGATAACATGTAATGCAGAGGTGCATTAGTGGGAACAACTCAGTGGTGCAAGAAAATAAATAGGGCCTACTGTATAACGTCCATCCGGGCGTCCATCTATTTCCCCGGGCGTCCATCTATTTCCCCCCACTCGAAATTTGCATCATGCAAAAGGCAATAATCGAGCCCGGAAATAGCGCCCTCTATATAAATGCAAACAAACAAACAAACAATACAGACCTCAGCTCTTTCTCTTTCCTCGGCGATCGACTTTCTTCTCATCATCTTCGTCACCTCAGCGCATTTTCTCCCGCTCGGTGCTCTCAAATCTAGGCCCCCTAATTGAATGACAAGCAACACCGGCTTAGCTTGGGGGCTATATTGTTGATAGACATCTTAAAAGCAAGAAAGAGCATTCTTTAGGCCTGTTTGCTAGAAGAGTTTTCATCTGATAAAGGTAGGCAATGACTCGAAAGTGCTGTTTTATAGGCTAGCTGGGTTTAGCCTAGGCCAGCTTAGGCCTAGCTAGGCCTAGACGCCGGCACCTAGCCTAGCAGCATGCAAGACCTAGGTCTAGCTCTAGGCGTGCTTAAAATATAAACCCTAGATTAGTCCTAAGCGGCCTAGAAACGGGCGCTATAATTACACTGCGTAGGTCTGGGCCCCTATGTGTTATATGGCATAGATAAGGCAACTTCAAGGCAAGGCCGGATTTCTTTATTTTATAGACAATAGGGCCTACAGTAGGCCTTGGCTCAGACTCTATTTACAATACAAGTTTGCTTGCAAGGTAGGGACCATTGGAAGCAAACTAGTAATAGTAGTAGAAGGTCTAGATAGTAGGCCTAGTGTAGTGGACCAGTAGACCTAGCTAGTACGAATGACGTCCGGTTGGGCCGCGCACCAGTTCAGCCGCGAGATATTCAATGCCCAAATAAGGGTTATTGTATCGAATGCCAAGTAGTGTAATCAATGCGTGAATTAGATATCACAGTGCAATGTTGGCGACATGTTAGGGGATATACTGTACAGGGAAATCATCCAAATAAATTATATAATATAATTAATTAATCCTGCATTATGATTATGTATGATAACAAGCGTACCTATATAAATAGGTGAGCCACTCAGACAGTAATTTATTTTACTTTTTGGTAATCCTGCCGGCTCTTGGGGGAAACATGGATTACCTTTTCGAATTTTCTGAATATTTTACTGTATTGTTATGATAAAAAAAAAAAAAAGGCGAAATAAATGAAATGAAATGAATGAAATACAAGACAATTATACGTTCCAGAAAAAAGTGATTGATCGGTTACCGTATTATTTAAATAATATAATTTACCTCATGAGTCATATACAAACACGATGATAAGTGACCTATATATCAAATAGTGGCAGTTAATAATAATTAAAATAAAGTGATTTCATCAGAGTTATCATTATTAGGTGTAAACGAATGAAAAACGTAACCACAGAAAAGTGTATTTCTATTGTTATCTTCTCAGTGAAGGGCGTTTACAGTTAAAGATCTTGATTTTAGGGCAATGTATTTATTTATTTATTTTTTGATTATTTTTTTAAAAATGTTTCTAAACTATACACAGAATCATTGAAAAAACAGTGCTGGTTGGCAGCCTGTCAGCGTCGGTCAGAAATGTTTAGTGCCAGACGGGGCATCAATAATATGATTTTTTTTTGTGGCGTTTATATACTTCCTGCTTCAAATCAATCAATCAATCATTTAAGAACATAGGCCTAGTCATAATATACAACGAAACATAAAGCACCAAATACTGTAAAGCTTTAATAATATTACAAAAAATATAATAACAATCCACTGATTTGGCAGTTTATTAATATTATCAACATTCTTCTTCTCTTTCATCTTCTTCAATAATATAAACACTGTAATATGAAAATAATAAAATCCTTTGGTTTGATTATCAACATGTAAATGCATAATAATGTACATTCGTTTGTTTGAAATAGATAAAACGAAACATACGAATCTTAAAACATTATTATTATCTTACACTAAAATCCAATGTTCGTTTGTTTCAAATAAATAAAACGAAATATATGAATCTTAAAACATTATTATTAACTTACACAAACCTAATAAAATCCACTTTTCCTTTGTTTCAAATAGATAAAACTAAATATATGAATCTTAAAACATTATTATTAACTTACACTAAACCTAATAAAATCCACTGCTTGTTCTGAAACTCATCGCAGTATTAATGCCATTGAATTGCTTAAAACCATATTAATTAATTTGCAGCATAAAGACCTGATAATACAACACGAAATCATGGATCTGTAGCAGCAATAGATTAACCACACACACGAATAATAAAATCCGTTTCATTTGGTTTGATTATCAACATGATTACATAATAATGTACATTCATTTGTTCCAAGTAGATAAAATGAAGTATGCCATCTAAATCATTAATAATTAACGTACACGGAACTTACACAAACATATAAAACCCACTGTTTTGGCAAACTAATGGCAGCATTATTATGCCCTGATTTTCTTAAAACCACATTAATTATTTGGCAGCATATTAAGACCTAAAAATAAAACACGAAATAATGGATAATATAGCAGCAATAGATTAACACACGCACGTATAGCATACACTGCTTTGCGTCTACTGGGTGGAGACTTAAGAGCCGGCCACACACTGCGTCACACGACCGTCCAACTCCAACGAATCTAACTCGGCTCCCTGTGTGTGTGTGTGTGTGTGTATATATATATATATATATATATATAAATTTAAGAAGGCAAATGGGAAAAGCCCATAAAACAACAAACGGCCACATAATGCAAAACTATTTAAAATTAAAATGGATCAGTAGAGAAAATCCGATCAGAATGACAAAATAAACTAAGCATCCACTGGAAGGAGTCCCAATATCTGCAGACGGATCCGTTTCGGCCTTCCAGGCCTCGTCAGTGCAGCTAGGGTATAGACCCAAACAAGTCGCACAACCACTAATGATTACAGAGCCAAACCAAGGCAATATATATCACAGCCCAGGTGTGAATGCAAATAGTGGAATACAAGCTATGTGGCTCGATTCCAATAGATACAGAGAATATTTTGTCATTCTTAACACGTCCTACGAAATTCTTACGAGACAGCACTAGTCCGTGAATTTATGAACAAGATCGGAGATCTAAAGATGCAATCTCTACCGTGCATCAATGGCGGCCCGCTGGATCTCAATAGAGATTCCTTAATAATATATAAATTTATATATATATATATATACACATACTGTATATGCTAGACCATGCGACACCGTCTGTTGATTGTCAGTCGGTGGCAGTCTGAACGGATTGTAATTAAGAACGATCTGTTGTGCGCATTTCGTTGCATTGCGTTCTTCATAGAATCACATGGGCAGACGACCATGGGGTGGAGTGTGTGCCCGGCTTTAGGCCTAGACCTAGTGTGATATGATTTTGTATTTTTTCATTAGTTGACTTTCCTTTTAAAAAACTCTGCAATTTAAATGTTTTTTAATCATTTTCTTTTATGAATTATATTTTTATTTAATAGGATGTGTTCAACTGATGGTTCTCAGTTAGCTGCAGCCAGGAGGCAAGGCCTGTTTGTGTCTGTTGCCTCCATATGTAATGATGTAGGCTTTGGTTCAGCTGATAAAGCTTGCATTGAAACACTCACTGAAATACTCCAGAGTTGTAAGCAAAGCTAATTATTTTTTTTCATCAAATTACAGAAATATCAATAAATATATGTGAATTACTGTAACTTATATTTTGCCAGTTGTATGATGAGATGAATAATATTAAACTATGTTGAGAAAATTTATTCAATAATGTATGCAAGGTCGAGATAACAAAAACATGACATGATGACATCTCATTATGTCAATGACATAATGAGATATCATCATTTGGTTGTCAAAAAAAAATATTAGTAAATTTTAAAAAATAATAATAAAAATAATAGACATCATGGCTGGCAATGTGGATTGCTATCAGCGTCGGAGAATATTCTTGTAATTTTCTGCCAAATTTGACTCAGATAGGTTGATAAATTTGAACACCCAGATATGTACTGTATACCGTACCTGCACTGTTCAAAATTAAGCCACTTTCAAACAGACTAGGTACAATACTGAGGTAAAAACTGGTATACGACATGCACATTTTCATACCAACCAAATATTGCAATAATATTGCCATATTATAATGCCTTTTGATATGAATGGATTGCATACACACATAGGCGTAGATCCCGGGGGGATGGGGGGATGGGGGGATATATCCCCCCCAATATTTGACAAGGGGGATGGTCCATTGTATCATCCCCCCAATATTTTGACTATGTATGGGATAAAATGGAGCTTTACAGACAAAAGACTGTCACAGAAATAATTTGCACTGTCTTATGCACTTACAAAGATGAAAATTAGCATAATGTATTAATGTTGATAACAAAATTATTTTATCTGGTACCAATCTAAGCTCTTCTTTCCTTAGATGTTAGATGTGCTTGCAAAGAGAGCCACATTTCACACTGAAGGGTGTGTACGACATCAGTAATGTTATGTCAATTCCAAGAATGTTATATCTGTTGATGAGGAATTTATTGATTAGGCCTATAATAGCAAATTGCATCAATTTATTTTGAAGTTTCCAGCTTAGAGGGGGGCACATCCCCTGTCCGCACAAGGGCACACATTGGCGCTAACACCAGGCACGTAACAGGGGTCTTGAGTCAGAGTGGGTATTTATTTTAAAAATTTTTTAAAATTTTTTATTTGAACCATCTTTAAAGAGGGTACCGTAACCCTTCTAGTTTAGCCCAGTAGGTTAACTGATATTCAGGGGCCCTCTTCAATAAAATTAAAGAACAGTACAAACAACATCATTACAACATAATAATAATAATAATAATAATAATAATAATAATAATAATAATAATAATAATAATAATAATAAT